AAAAAATTTATAATAAATAAAATACGGACTCGCAGCTAAGCAACCCGACAGAGGTCGGTAGTGTTACTCCTGTCGACCCTTAAATTGGTTGAAAAATAAAAATTGTCCGGCTAACTTCACACCGGAAATTTCATTTTTATTTTACAGGAAAACGACTAACCACCAAACGATCGGACTAGACTACCAAAGACCACCAAACGACCACCAATCGATTCCAATTAATGAAAGTTCGATACGTTGAAGTTGTCCGGCCAACTTCATAGAGGTGTTCTGCTCTACGAGGAACGGTGAATGGTGATTCCAGCCGTCGCGGTTGCCATCCCTGCGTCTCGTATCACTGTCATCAGTGTCATCACTGACGGAGGGCGGACGTCGCTCCGCGATTCGATTCGGAGCGGCCCTCGATTTTAATACTGGATTCTACCAAGATCCTCCAAGAAAGTAGAACGTGACGGGGACCCTCCGCGGGATATTATGCGGCGCGAGCGTCCTACCGAGACCGAGGTCACGTTGTTCGGCACGACGCTGTCGCGCGCGGCGATCCTTTAATCCTCGGCACCGATAGATTGCGGACGCGCAACACCTCGAAGATCATCGCCGCCGCTTTCGGCTTTCGGCTTTCCAGTTACTCCCGATCGACGTCCACGGGATCGAGTGATTCCGCGCGCGCGTCCGTATCGTAAACACGGCTCTGCCGCCCGCGATGGCGAATCTCGGCGTGTCCAAGCGGTGGGTCTTACTCCTTTTGTTCGTGCAGAGTCAGACGGGTCACGGCCACGACGAGGATGCGCATACCCTCCGGTACACCCACGACACGTTTTCCGCGCAAGTTGGCAAGAGGAATCATTTCGTCATGTTCTACGCGCCATGGTAAGCCGAACGAGTAGTTTTCATTAATGTTACTTCTCTATGTCAGCCGTGTCAGCTACGTGGAACGGTGGATTCTTGCGTGACAATGTTCTGCCCAAGGTGCGGTCATTGCCAGAGACTCGGTCCCACGTGGGAGCAGCTAGCGGAGATCTCGAACGAGGGGGACAACGATATAAGAATCGCCAAGGTGGACTGCACGATCGAGAGCGTTTTATGCAGCGAGCAGGACGTTACTGGTTATCCCACGTACGATGCCTTTGCCTACGCTTTTGCCTTTCATTCAAAATGGATTCTTTTTAAAATGACAACTAATATATCCAATAATATCTTTACACGTCGTATTATACAAATATCTGTAACGTATCTTGGCGTGTGTTTGTGTGTATTGCAAGCACACGTTGTAATGTCTTGGAAACTTTTGAGCGCAGGCTAAAGTTTTACAAGGCTGGAGAAACCAAAGGCGTCAAATTCCGAGGCACTCGAGATCTACCTACCTTGACTTCTTTTATTGTTGATCACGTAGGTGGTTCTTCTACGGTGCGTATGCGTCATATTGACGTCTGTCACTACTTTGCGCGTCGACGTGCTAGTGCGTAAGTTTATGTTTCAGGTTGAAGATGTGCCATCTCCTCCAGAAGCGGTGAATGGATTATTGGAATTAACGGAGGATACGTTTGAGAAACACGTATCTTCCGGGCATCATTTTGTCAAATTTTATGCACCCTGGTGCGGACACTGCCAGAAATTAGCTCCGACGTGGGACGACGTAGCCAACAGTTTTCGCAACGACGACGTAGTCAGTATTTCTAAGATTGACTGCACGCAGCATCGTAGCATTTGTGGCCAGTTTGACATTAAAGGATATCCCACGTTGTTGTGGATCGAAGATGGAAAGAAGGTACCGATCGGAATCCGTACATTTTTTATTTTTTTTCGTCCAAAGAAGGACACGTGTTTTGCGTAAAAGAGCTTTGGTCAAATATGGTATAACGTTTTAGATAGATAAGTATACTGGCCAGCGTACTCATGAAGAGCTAAAGGCTTACGTGTTGATGATGTTGGGTAAGAATGCTGACGAGCCGAGCCGAAAGAGCTCAAGTACTGACGGACTCCCGCATGCTATATTAAGCCTGACAGCCGACAGTTTCAAGCAAGGTATCGAGAAAGGTCTTTCATTCGTCAAGTTCTTTGCACCTTGGTGTGGACATTGTAAACGCCTGGCTCCCACGTGGGAAGAGCTGGGCAAGAAGTTCTTCGGCAACGACAACGTGAATATCGTCAAGGTAGATTGTACGCTCGACGTAAGCAAACACGTGTGTAATGAACAGGAGGTGGATGGTTTTCCAACGTTATACTTGTATCGTAACGGACGCAAAGTCTCCGAGTACACGGGCTCGCGTACGCTCGACGATCTGTATGATTTCGTGATGACACACTTGAAAACGCACGACGAATTATAATTCTGTCTAGCTGTTAAAGCGTCGAGCGATAAGGGCAATGTTCCCATATTCACTTTCAGTTTACTGAAAGTGAATATGGAAACATAGCTCTAAGTCTCATAATATTCTCGTGTACTTTTTCCCAAAGTATTATATTCCCAATAGTACTTGGAATAATTAAATTAATTTAGAACGCATGACGTATCGATCGTTTCATCGTCAAAGAGAGAAGCGGGAGTTTTTTCATTTTTATACCATATACATCGCGAAGAAAAAACAATATGCTATATATAGACGTGTAATATACCAGAATGTAATCCCGTGTCAAAGAAAGATGTACTTGCAAAATACAATCTATTTATTGTCTCATCTCTCATTTATTTTGCATTTGTGCGTATATATGTAAATCTTCTCTCTCTCGTTTCCTTTTATATACTTTTAAACACGTATAGCGGGGGGGGCTGTAACATTCACATCAGTAAAGAGACAAAGTAAAAGAAAATAATTCAAGTTGTTCCTTGTACATACATGTCACACGGTAAAAGCGTGAAATCAGTAAATGTATACACTTGTGTTTTATAGTCAATGTATGGATTTACTGAATTTTATGTTTCAAATTTTCATCTTTTATAAGCAACATTTTTTTTCACACAGTGATACACAGGTTGGGTTGCGTGGTTTTTGTGGGGGGTGCGGGGTGCGGGGGTCGCAGTCCCTCACTCCTCCATTTACTGAATTGTGGGTATACATTTACTGACTTTCACACTTTTACTGTAACATGTACATAATGTGAGCATTGATTGATTTCACTAGAAACAAAGATAAAATTGATCGATTGGTAGTTGTTTACAACGTGCATTTGTATGCGCGCGCGTGACAAGTGATGTCCTTTTATTGCAAACACATCTAAACATTTCACATGAAACTAACCATTAATGGATATACCGATATACGTATATGTTACATTTTTGTGTTGCAAGTATAAGTGACGCGATAACTTCGTTTTATTCTCCGTGCGTCTGTTTTAATTATCTTTTCTGTATCATTTACTATCGCAACAAGCTACATTGCGAATCAGCTTCGCATATAGGCTGCGTTCGCTTTGGACGCTTTCGCGCTGAAAGCATGATGCATCTTTTTTCAACATGTAATGAGCAATAAAGATAAACTGACGCTTTCAGCGCGAAAGCGCCCAAGGCGAACGCAGCCATAGAAGCACGTTATGATCAATGGCGAATGGCGAACATTCTTATTACACGCTAATACACACAAGTCCCGCGCTTTCGTTCGATTCTCATTGTTAAAACGATTTGTTATTAATCGAATCAAATCAATATATTTGTCGGAACAAATCGACGTTTAAACTTGTCGGCGAAATGATGCCGACATCAACAGTAGGTGCAAGGTGCAAACAGTTGTTCGGGCTCGGTCCGCGACCGTCTGAATCTCTGTGCGATCATTTTGCACGTAAAATTATATTCACTTTCCGTATTCTCTGCGTCGTGGGCCTTAACAAGGTTTACAATAAGACATGCTAAAGTTCTCGCTGTCGATGATGCGGTATTGATAATTCTTGTAGGTGGTGAAGTCTGCGTCGCGCATCTGGAAAACGTGATCCATGATCTTCTTGATCACCGGCGCCAAGCTCGGTACATTCGCAGCGGCTGCCATCTCGTCGTAGTAAGCCCATTGTCTGTCCTTGAGCTTGTTGATGTGTCTCAGCTAATGGAGAAGAAAGAAAAAAATTATTACAACTCGACGTAATCTTTCGTGATGAATTTATACATTATCGCATCATGTACGTATATCATCATTTTCTGAAAGTTTTTCTGAATCGTCATTCCGCTAATCTATCACCGCGCCCCTCAAACTGCGATCTTTCTTCTCAGCTGCGACTTCACAGAGATTAATCCATAAATCTCATACCGGAATGCCTTGATCCAGCAGAGATTTCTTCTCGCGTTCGAATTCCTCGCGCATCTGTTGCGGCGACGGTAACTTGACGCGGTTCTCGAGGATGGCGAGGACGTACTGCGCCTGAATATGAAAACACGGGAACGGTATCACGAGCGCGGGCAGGCCCATGAAGAACAGATTCGTGTAATCTATGTGCACCAGATGTTTGTAAATAGGCTCCACGTGGTCGTCATCTGTACGTATCTCAACTTTAGTTGACATAAAGGGATACGTGAACTTGTAACCTAAACAAAATCGTTATCCGTAAAAGTCTATAGTCTCTCAAAGTTGAAACACACTGCATGATATTCTCGAATTTATTTACCGGTGCAGAATATAAAATCGTCCACTTCCGCCGTGGAGCCGTCGCGGAAAGTGAACATGTTCCCCCGGACAGACTCAACACCGGGCCTTTGTTCGACGTTGCTCGACATCTTCGAGTCGAACTGTTCCGGCAGATTATGACTCAGATATACCTGGAATCGCCGAAGAAAATGAAAGATTAATGAAAAGATCATTTCGAATCGTTGACATTACGATCACTCCGTATCACTTCTACGCGAGACGTCGCAGAAACGTCTCATTCGGACATGCTTCGGATGCTGATTTATCGGGGCATTCGTAGTAAAAAGATGAATGCAAGATTTTATATTTGCCAAAGATGTGATAATTCATATAGTACAGGGATTTGTGCACCAACGTACTTTAGCGGCATATTGCGAGACTTCCAAGGCGATATCGATGCCGGACCAGGACGCGCCGAGTATGCAAACCCTCTTGCCGGCGTAGGTCTCCGGCACTCTGTACTGGTGGCTGTGAACGCGTCTACCGCGGAAGCTTTCGATACCTGGAATATGCGGAACACGACCGACACTATAATGACCGTTGCACAGCACCACGGCGTCGAAGGTCTTTGTGGTCTCTACTTTGGTCTCCAGTGATTGGTATGTCACCGTCCACAACGTCCGACCGTTCCTCGTAGTTTCTGGCTCTGCGCGCTTCACCAGAGTATTCAACTGAAAAGCAGAACACGACTCTTAATAAAAACGTAAGAAAACGGGAAAAAGTAACGAAGAACCGTATTAATAATCTTAATTTTAATTAATAGGAAATAAATTTAATTTTATTATATCTTTGCGCGATCTTGTTCAGAGATAACCAAGATAAATGTCAAAAACTCACTTTGATATAGGGATGGAGGTTGAAATGCTTCGCATAGGCCATGAGGTATTCCCTTATAACTCTGTGATGGGTGAAAGATGGGCCTTCCGAATCTTGAAAAGGAAAGTCAGGTATTGCCATTATTTCCTTCGGTATGTTCGTCCTGTAAGAAAAAAACAACGCTCATTCTCTCTCTCTCTCTCTCTCTCTCTCTCTCTCTCTCTTTCAGATAATTCCCATATTGAGGTGATCACGCGCGCGATTTTTATTAATTTTTACCCGTCGCGGAGTTCAGAAGATACGACGACCCGTAACCCGAGAATAGCGATAAACAAAGTTGGTAGTTGTTGGCAACTTGGACCGGAATAAAAGCTTTGGTCGACTTTACTCGATAGAAATAGACATAGCTGGGAAGATTATTTTTTCATCTTGCGACAAAAAGAGCTTTTTCAGAAATACTTCTCATTGCAGCCTTATTTTTATTTTTTGCTCATGTCATCCAACACGGTATTTTTTTAAGTTGAAATTAAGTCGACTGCCGAAGACTCACGGGGAAAAGTTAACTTGGCAGCGATGTTGCTCCAGAATTTGGAACCACGTTAATAAGAGCGGTACAGATAGAATATATAAAAAAGATTACGTTGTCTGAATGCAAATAGGGAATCAGATCTAATGTTTGCTTCGATCGATTTCGTACAAAAGTGCTGATACATCTTCGTAAGAATCCTTGACTCTTTCACCGTGTTGCTCGATGGCTTCCGATCCACACACACATTGCGGATTGCCTCATACTCAATTTATCGTCGGCGTAGTGTTGAGTTATTCTCTGTGTCTCCTTTCCGGAACTGGCCGTTCAAGAAATATATCTTCTCATTAATATGTCGCAAAGTGTATCGCGTGTCGAGTAAAGTTTATCGCATTAGAGTTAATGCATTAGAGAGGCGTTTCTTGCGTGTGCGGGGACATTTGTATTTTTTACCCGCGATCGCGGATGGACGAAAGGATCTTATATTGCCCTGTAGTTAGACACCGGAAAGAAAAAGAACCTGGGCTTTGTTCTCATCGAAATATATATAGACTAGCGAAGTCGTAAATACGTAAAGTCTGAAGTCTGAAGTACGAATGTGTAGCCAAAGCTATGCATGGGTTGAAAGTTGAAAGCTCCGGTCCACCTCGCGACGTGCAAAAACGCATTTTGTTTACCTACATCTTAGTAATGATCTATATTTTACTATATTATTATACACATCTACATACAAGGCATTATAATCATCTTTTCCGGAACAAGGTCAAACAAGTGCATTTAAAATAAACTAAAAATATAATAAAAATAAGAAAAAAAAAATTTTTTTATTTCATACTTGATGAAATATATTTATTGCATACTGAAATCTCTTTTACTTTGAAAACACTTGTTATTGTTCATCTTTATCTACGTTCCAAACAAATCTACATCAGCCGTAAGTAAAATCAAAATAATAACTAAAACTCATATTTATATACAAATACCTTTTTTTTTTTTTATTTTTCTCAAGGGTTCTCAAGAGTACACAAAATTTGCTTGTGAAACATTATAAAACACTCTGCTCATGTTACAATCGTATTATTGCACGTAATCTGTATTGTTTAAGAAATATGAATACGTAACAAAGAATTATGCAATAATGTAGTGATACAACTCGTTTGGGGTAAACGAGACGTCGGTCGCAAAGTTGCAAAGCATTACCCCCTTGGCTACGCGCGTCACTTGAGCACGTTTGTTTTTCCGTAATAACTATATGCAATGACAATGTTGTTAAACTCTCTGATTATCCTTCCTGACTGAGTCGCGCACGTTTAAACAGGTTCAAAGATCCGTCAGTAAATCTCTTGATAATTAAAGAGAGAAAGACACAATTCATTCACAATCATCACTCACTATATGTAATTCTATAACGTATATGTATTTGCAAAATATCATACGTTATGTCAAAAGTGCAAAAACATGCGAGTGCGGAGGTTTTCAATTTAAATGATGGAACGTATTTAATTAGAGTTGTATCCTTTTAACGTTAAGCAATAAAATTATACGCTGTTTACATCGCGCGTATGAAAAATCTTGTTCGTCGACTCTCTTTTCGTTAGAAAAGTGTTGATTGCAATGTTTCTTCAGCTAAGGTCAACGATCTCACCTAAGATTCTTGTACATGCTGCTGTGTATCAAAAGCCCGTGCTTGTCAAGATCCGTTTCATCGGTATAGACCCATGTACCACCGATCTGATCAGTTTGCTCAAACAACATGAGACTGTAGATATCTAACTTGGCCACCACGTGACGAGCTACCACCAAACCAGACACTCCACCACCCACAATGGCGATTCTCGTTTTACTACTCGGCATGATTTTTCAATAAAAAAAGCCTAAGAAAGTTATATATTAGCACCACTCTGAATTTCAATTTAGAATAAAAGATGTTTGGATATATAAATACAAATGAATATACATGTATATATACCTCACGTAGGACGTAGGATACTTGTTTCTTTTTCCTCTTTTAAAAATAGAGTAACGTGTTGGAATATTTCTCAATCTATCGGCGTACACGTCAGTATTTAATTTCTCCGATACCACACCACCACAGCTACAACTCTTTCACTCGTCGACTGTTATAAAATCGTAAAGATGATGATCCGTCAATAGAATGGGTCCACGATTAAAAATGTAACGTTTGTACAAGAAACAAAGAAGACAGCGACAAATAACGCTTATTGTTAGCGCAATAAATGAACCAAAGGCAAACTCGATTTCCCAAACTGGTTCCGCTGAAAGGCTGACGTAAGACTGAGCAACGAAATCTCAAGTCCACTCTCGTTAGCCGGCCGTTACATACTAACGTTCACATATGGAAAATGTTTTCTTTACCCGGATTTACGGCCCCTATCCCCTTCTTCTGATGAAATCGCTGTACGGGCTTACAATCAGCATCCGTAAGGGAGAGAGGGAGGGAGGGAGGGAGGAATGGAGAGAGAGGGAGAGGGGAGAGAGAGAGAGAGTGTGTGTCTGCGATTAAACTCTCATTAACAAAAGCATAATTTCGAGCGAGAAGTTTCGGGGTCATCGCGGTTCGCGGATTAATGCAAGTAGAAGATTTAAACATCTCCATAATCAATATAATCATATTTATAAACATAATATTTCAGAGCTCACGGTAAAGCAGAATCCGAAAGACGCAAATCTAGGAACTCTTGGTCGTCATCGTCGTTGGAAAAAAATGTCAATTTAACATTAAACAGAAAAGTTATGTCGTCAAGTACACGTACGTGCTACACAACGTGAGTTGGAATGTTAAAGAAATGAGTTGAAATGTTAATGAAATTTTCTGACGGATCGATTCGTTAAAACTGCTTAATGAACTTCGCGATCTTATTCGTATTCCTGCAACCCGCTCGCGGAAAAAGAAAAAAAAGCGACGTATCGATATAGGCTGGCGTCTCAAATGCGGCGTGTAAGAAATTACGTGTTACGTTTCGTCAGGCCGGTTTGCGACAGAGAAAATTTACAGTGAAACGAATCGTTTTTTTTTTCTCCCGATCGTAAGATTACCATAATTATCTTCTGACTGGTTTCTGGAAACTGCCGATTGATCGCGGCGCGGCGTAGGACTGAAGAGAGAACGCGAGCTGGAGAACGGCCGCTCACGGTTTCGCTTAAAATAAATTCTTCGAATTAAATCGATCTACGTCTTCAACGAATTAAATATTACTCGTGTACGTGATCGACTTGCCCGCTCTTTTCACGCGTACTTACTTTTTCCGGTTCCTCGCGGTTTTTCAAGCAGTAGAGAAAGTGGAGCGCGTTGTTGCATCACGCAAACGGATATCGTGTACATACATATGTATATATACAAATTTCGATGACGTTGAGAGGTTGAACGCCTTGGGAAGTATTACGAATGACGTAAATTTCGTAACGCTGTATCCGAGATTAAAAATCCGTGACTATCCACGTCTAAGATTTATTCAGCGTAACGGCGACACGTCTCATTGGTAATATGAATTAAAATTAACGAGATGAGAACCGTCGCGCATTTATCAATGCAACACGAGTTCCCGTCTATATTCTTGCGTACTTTAATCTTAATTAATATCACATTCATATTAATGCCGCTATTTTTTAAGAGAGATAACCGTTTCTTCTTAAAATGCACACTTAAAATGCATACTTGGCGAATTCTGATACTTTGGATACTCGCGCTTATTTCAATCGCAATAGGACAAGATGTTGCATGTACCGATGGTGCTCTTTCTGATCTCAGGGTCGGGGCCAGTCAGTGTAATAGAGCATATTAAAAAAAAAGAAGAGAAACATCACACAACAGATATAAAATTAGACTGTTGTAAAGTTTACGCGGCGATCGAGCGTGACATGCGTGATTTAAAACGTGCTGCAAATTTGGTGCGAGCTTAATGTGACGTTACTTTTTCTTTTAATAAATACACTTATCTCGCGCGGGACACAAAATACGATTCCTACGTCAAACGAATCCTCATAAAAAAAGGCCATGTAGCAATACAAGATTTCTGCGGCGTTATCATGGGACGTGATATTAAATGGTGATGCGCGTGCCAGGAGGGATGAAATGCGTTTCAGTCTTATCACCTGGAAACACCTATTTTTCGGCTTTAACTGTACATTTTCTGAAATCAATCGAACGTGTATCTGATATACATCTGAAAATCTCGGGGCGAGAAATCCCTTGTCTCTCCAGCCACGTCGGTGAGACACGCCACTTGGAGTGCGTAAATAATTTCGTTATAATTTCCCGAGCGTCGGGGATTCTTCATTAAAATTTATAAAACGCAGCACTTGTATACGCGTCTTATGCAAATTTTATTTTCCCCTCAACAAGGCATGGCTTGATATTTCTGAACTCATTCTACGGTCTCTCAGACCGACGGAACACAAAATCAACGTTTTTTTCCGGTTTTCCGAAAATTTAGCTTAAAAATATCAGAAAAATAAAGATTAATTTTATTTATTTTTTTATTTTTTTTATTTTTTCGTTAAAAGACATTCTCAACTTTAACAAGAAATCACACGCAAAGTTTATACCAAAAACAAACTTAATGTATTAAACTTGTATTACATATAAATCGTTGTCTCACCGTGAGTCCATGTGTCACAGAACATGGGGTGAGTTCAAGAAGATTAAAATACTCCAAATGCAGATAAAAAATTATGTGATAATGATAACGACGTAGCAAGAGAGCGAGAGCTCATGGCATATTTTAAATTTTAACACAAATTATTAATACGGTCGTCCAGCATTGATGTTGATTCATCATTTAGACGTACGATTCTACAATCAAGTGTACCAGTCTAGAGTCAAAATATATCAACTCAATGTATAATGTGAGATTTACGTGCTCAATCAATAGCACGGCAACGAGAATAATGTGCAGAAATAAGCTGCATTAATTATAATTTTTCATTGAGATACGTTCGAAACGAGAATAGATTACTGAAATGTCGTAATGCAATCAATATGATAAACCTCTTTTTTTAATATTAATCTCGCTTTTTTTTTCATTCTGAATGCACGCGTAGTACTTTACGGAAAGATTGAAAAGAAGAAGCTAAGCAGATATTGGATATTGGAAGGGAGATAATGGGTTATTTATCAAGTTCTTTGACTATAAATACACAGTCAAAGTCAGTTCAGTGATGGTTACGCAGAGGAATCTTCCGCTATGAAGAAAATAATTTTCGGCTGTTACGTAGCTAACGCTTCGTTAGAGCCAACATCTTATCTGTTTGCTTCCATTCGTTGCAACGCGTATTATTGAAAGTTTACGAAATTTATGATGTTTCAGCCGAGTCTTATTACTTTGTATTACGTCTGTAACGCCAGGCAATCTTTTTGCACGTAAACAAAGATAAATAAAATTTATCATTCATAAAGGAATACGCATGTATGTCATATTAATTTATTAAATTGAAAAAGATCAAGAGACACGGTAGTGTCTCGCGCCAAGTACACGCGGAGCGATATGTATAAACGAGACTACGTAATATACCGATTATTGAATAAAAATTTGCGTTACCATATTTTCGTTGAAGAAGACTTTAGATGGATCATAAAAACCTAGCTTAAATAAGAAAAGATATAGGACACGTTGTAAATTAGATTCGTCACATTATCCCGCTATCAAAAGGAGTGAATAACCACGTGGCATTTTCACCTTATTATCTGCGCGATTTGTTTTTCCGACGGTGTCCCAGATGATGAAATCCGTATGAGATTAGAGCAAGCTGAAGATGTTAAAGCCATTATCAAACGCAGATGATTATGGTGCACGCGTTCTTCCATAGCGCGTGCGTCGTTATCACTTTTGTGAAGCAATTAGAGAAGATTATCTCCGAGCGAGAAGACGATTGAAATTCCAGTTGAAACAGGAAACGGAGACGCGAGGAAATAATGCAGGCTTTATTTATCGATGAAATTGAATGGACGATTAATTTTCTACGGTTCACGTATCAAACTCTTTCTACGAGAACACAGATATAACTTTTTCTCCACTGTTATCTCAGTGGGAATTAATAATATTACGCTACGTACGTATATGAATCGCTTAGAAAGAGGTATCGAACCTGAAAACGCATCATTTTCTTTTTCCGCTGAAGAGATTCACCTAGGATAGCTCCAAAGCCCATTGGACAAAGCTTTTTAAAAATTTAAAGGGATGCTCGCAGAATCTCTGCCGTATATATAGCTCCTAGAAAAATATTTAATTTTATAATAAAAATTTCCGTGATCTTAAAATGTACTTAAAATGTTTCTTATCCTATTATCATACTTTTAACGTTGAACGATAAATCTGTATTTATTATAATATGGACAAATATATACAAATCTATAGTTGTACATTAGCTGTGTAGCAATCGGAAGAGTAAAGAGTTTGCGAATTTGATACGCAATACAGTTAGACTAACGCACCAAGTATTGTGCAGTATAGACGAGTGATATCTATTACACACGAAATTGTGCTCATCATGCAATTGGCATTCATCTATTTGACAACTTACAAAGTTGTTTTCAAGGCGGAATCAGACTTTAACTTGCGACTGCTGGACCTCTTGGATGGTGGTTTTATCAACGGCGAAGCGTAAAGAATTGTGCTCGGAGAGATACAATGTTATTCTGGCAACTAAACAAGATAAGGGCGCATCTCACGTATGGCCTTGACAAAAGGTTTTAAAACGCACGTAAATTGCGTTTGAAATCAAATAGATGAGTAGACGTTATATGAGAAGGAAAGTAAAGTAACTCCCTATTACCACAAAAAAATAAAATTAATATTGTAGTTAATATTGTAGTTAAATTAATATTGAGTGACGGACGTTGTGATTCTCACTGCGGGTCACGCATTGACAATGAAAACAGATTTAATTATCTATTATATGCAGTATGCAGCTCAATGCACAACAACGTAACCCGTCCCGACACGTACCATCAAAATGTATACTCGATCACGCGCTTCTATCCCCGTCGCGGTATTAATAATCTAGGTAAATATTGATTGTGTGGTAGCTGTCATAAATTTTCAGCACGCACGCGAGCTGGTTACATCTAACGCCAATGGAAATGCCACTGTTTCGCGCACAATTCGTGACACAGGTAGAAATTTTGTTTACATTTACGATGACCTTACAAATGCGTGGTAATAATGTTTTGTCAGAGATCTGCAGCCAGATATCTCGCGCCAGAAATATATTACATAAAACTTTATGTTATACATGTGATAAGACGAGATTAAATATTACATACATATGTGCATATACGTAAGCGTTTTTCTTTTCAAATATTGATATAATGGTTGATAACACAACGAACGTCTCGAAATAATAAAATCAAAAATTCGGATTTGCTTAATAGCTTAGCTAGCTATTACTCAAGTAGTAGGGTGATATTAAAAGACGATATAATGACACATTTTCATCTATTAAACTGTCACTACGTAGTCGTCACTCTTTATTGTCATTTTGCTACTTGGGTAATAAATGGAATAGATAGAATATATGACTTGTATATCCGTATGATCCGTGTGTGTGACAAAAACAGACGAAACATTTCGTATTATGACATTCGACATTATTTGAAGAAATGTCAAGCGTCAAAGAAATAAACGAATGTCAATAGTGGCAAATTATTGCGATTTCGTTATCTTTTAATTATCCGAAATTAATGTTATCGCGTCGAATACTAGATCAATCAAGTTTCCGATAATAATCATTGCAAATAGTTTTTCACGTGTTTAAGATACCGGCGCGAATATATCGTTAACGAAATAAAATCGTCGTCGCGGGGATACAATGAGGGGGTTTGAAGGCTTTTATGAAACAGAGGCGTGTCACTTGTCGTGACTTCTGCGAGAGTAGAGGATCGTACACAGATTCCTGCGGTCCACACAATTCGCTCGAAGAACAGTCATGCAGTGTTTGACGCGACACTAACTGATTAACATACGCTCGGATGCACGAAATATATCGGGATATATTGTACGAGAGGCCATCAGAGGAAGAATCTGTATCCGCCATAGGATGACGTCGTATTATTGAGCGAAATACAAATTTATTTAAATATTTGCTAGTAACTGATCCAACACGTGGAATCCATATTTCCTTAATATCGTCCAACAATAAGATATCGACTAAGATCGTGTAAAAACATATCAAAAGTTATGTATATATTGACAAGTGATCATTTCTTAAACGTCAAGGATTAGTTGAAGAAATAAAAATAAGAAATGGATAAGAGTAAGTATAAGTCAAGTTTGAATTCTGCTCAAGTCTCGATCGACTTGAGAGAATTAATGATTGAATCATTTCATCATCGCGACGACTTAGTAAAAGCTTTTTTAGTTTTATTCAGTCATCGCATTTCGTCGCATAGTAATACGTCATCTCGATTATACAGAAAACGTGTATCACACGTATAACCCGCGCGTGTCTACCAATTTAACATCACGATATAATTACCGTTCGATCATAATATAATTATAATATAAAATCTTCCCAGATTGACTTTGCTCGTTCGATCGAGAATTGCTTTAAAAGAAAAAAAATAATATAAATATTTATAATATAATTTTAATTATTAATTTTCTTAGACCGGTAACACTGTTCAACAAAAAATGAGAGAACGCGTACCTTCGGTCTTGCGCATTTTTTTTGTTAAACAGTGTAATAAAAAACTATAAGTATATCTGTATCACACTGCATTCGATTGGAAAGACAAGAGATGTCATACTTACGTTTTTCAGAAAAGGAGTTGATCACTTGCCGAGATGTCTTATGGCTCTTAGTCCTTTGCGGCTTCGCCATCAATTACATGCTGCGATTAAACTTGAACCTCACCATCGTCGCGATGGTGATACCATATCCAAAACCCGCGGCGGTCGCGCAGTGCACGGAGGAGAACAGTACAACTGTTGACGTTTGGATCAACGAAACGTCTCGGGATGACAATATTTCTTTTCCGCGTACCACGTCATCCTTCACAAATGTTACGGTACCCTGAAAATAATCTCTTTAAAAGCTATTCTCCTTCGCGAACAAAATTCACGAGATATGCTTCGCTTCTTCTTCTACATTTTCTTACCTCGTAAATTTTATTTAGCATGAAGATCGATTCGCCTGGAACGAGTACGAGCAAGGACTGACATTGGGTGCCTACTACTGGTTGCACTGGGTGTCGCAGCTGCCTGGTGGTCTTCTGGCTAGGCGATATGGCACGAAACTCGTGTTCGGCCTGGCAAATCTCTTAACGGCTCTCTTAGGATTCCTCGTACCCTACGTGACGCATTTGTACATGTTGATAACTCTTCGTGTGCTACAAGGATTCATCGCGGTAAGCTTTTTGCAAAACGTTCTTACGAAACGTAGGACCTTTTTAGAAGCTCCAATTTTTTTCTCCAGTTTGCTCGTACATCTAGAGATCGTACTAATGTTTTCTTTTTTCATCTTCGCTTCAGGGTGTTATATGGCCATCGATGCACGATATGACGGCCAAGTGGATCCCGCAGACTGAAAGAAGCAGATTCGTCAGCGCTTATCTTGGTAAGGCGCGTTGATCGCTGCGATTGCAAAAACTTTTGATCTTCATTAGGACCATCGAATATCATCTGATATAATTTTCAGGTAGTTCCGTGGGAGCCGCGATTACTTACCCCCTGTGTGCAGCCGTTACTAATTCCTTCGGTTGGGGTGCATCCTTCCACGTGACATCTTTGCTAGGCATAATTTGGTTAGTGTCCTTAGAGAACGCAAGCTCGCAATTAAGTTCGGATGTGCGCGTCGTCCAGTTCCTCGCGGGAATTAATTTATCGCTAATTATCGCAGGTACTGCTTCTGGCACTTTCTCGTGTACGATTCGCCGCAGCAGCACCCGCGAATCTCCAAAGACGAGAAAAATTACATCCTCAACAATATCACCGGATCCGTGGAGAGCGAGGAAAAGGCTCCAATACCCTGGAGATCGATAATTCTGTCGGGGCCGGTATGGGTTACCATCGTCGCACATTGGGGCATAGCTTGGGGTCTCTTCACCCTCATGACCCAGGCGCCGACTTACTTCAATTTTATTCACGGATGGAATATTAATGCCGTAAGTTTCGCGTACCATTTTATTACAGATCTGCCTCTGAATGACGTCACGCAGGATTCGTATGTTATTTCGTCCTGTGTTGGTCGTACGCCAAAAAAATTTTACGTATTTTCTAGACGGGAATACTGGCGGGAGCGCCGCACCTGCTCAGAATGATCTTCTCGTATTTCTTCTCGATGATGAGCGACTGGCTACTCCGCACGAGGCGAATGAGCTTGACGAACGTCAGGAAACTGGCCACCTTCGTTTGCACCGGCGTACAAGGGATCCTCATCGTGGGTCTCGGATTCAGCGGGTGTCATCCGTTGCTCGCGGTTATCTTCATGATGGCCGGTACGGCGGTCAACGGCGCTGTTTCAGCCTCCACTTTGGCGATCTTCGTCGACCTGAGTCCTACGTACGCCAGCGTCCTTCTTGGATTCGCCGGCATGATCATCGTATGGGCCGGATTCATCTCGCCAGCCATCGTTGGCGTACTTACGAATAATAATGTGAGTCTAATCTCCTTCTTTATTCAAGATCCTTCTTTCACGATAACGTTAATTTTACAATGGATTTTTTTCTCACACAGCAAACAGTGGGACAATGGCGCTTGGTCTTCCTTATCGCCGCTGCTAATTCGATAGCGAGCGGCATTTTGTACATGATATTTGGCACTTCAAAAGAGCAACCGTGGAATCAGTATACCAAATTAAATACGAAGGAACGAGAGATGCAGGAGCTGGTCCCAGCGGTTGTGAAACGTGACACGGACGCCGAGAATGCTGCCGACACTGAAAAATCGAATTTTATTAAAGAAAGATAACAAATTAAGTACATCTTAATTCTTTGATCACCGTGTGCTTATAGCAACTTGTTGCTAATCGATTCTTTAGGACGAAATGCCATAGTAGCCTCTAAACTCTAAACGATCTATTGAAGGGCATTATTTAACAAAGAGGATATTAACGATTGATCGTATATTTGATAATGCACTCGCGTACAACTTATTCTTGGAACATTTCATCACAAGGAAACAAAGGAATGAAGAAATGACATTACAGTGTAAATAAATGCTCAACTATTTGCAATGCGTTAAGATACGTATTATGATTTAGATGCATCTCCGATCGCCATACACGCACGCTCTATAAATCAAATTCACATATATCTACGTTCTTATGATAATAACGCATTACACTCCATCTTCAAAATATGTAAATTGCGGTGCACAAGTTCCAGTAACAGAATCGACGAGCGCCGAATCGATCGTTCTCCTATGGCCGTATGGCCGACATTACGTCCATCTGTTTTACACGAAAGACGTACTGGAATTATCACAGCTCCCTTTCTGCTGTGAAGCAGATTAAATACCGCGCCTTATCCTACTTCCCATGGACACAACACCGTGCAGCTACCATTAGATATATTTATCGTTCGGATTTTCGAATCATCGCCTGTAAATGAAAATGCCCCGTGGTCCGAGTTTTATCGAAATATTCACATTTTCGCAAATCACTGTAGAGACGAAGAAAGTACAATGTGTAGACATTTCGCACGTTAAATAGTATTATCGTTATGCATATTGAGATTTTTGCACCTTATAATTATAATTAAATCATGTGAATTGAATAAAGTATTTTTCTTCACGTCACTGTAATAGACATTTCTCAAATATCTGTATTAATACACCTAGGTTCACAGTCAGCCCAAGTTCAATCAAGATTTTATTTTCAGACTTCGATAATAAAGCTTTGCATTTATCGGAAGACTGATTTACGCACGGACAGATGCAAACTACACATTTTATTCCGGAAGCCACAGTAATGTGACGCTCTTTAATATTTTAAATAATAGATAATAAATAATTTAATACGTACTTAAGTATAGCAACGTAAAATGCACATTTTTTTAATATGAAAATATATCAAAATAAAAACTCTAAAAATTTGAAACATTGATCCTTCTTAGAAAAAAAATGCCAAGATATCAACGTTTCAATATATTGTATTTTTAATATTTCCAGCTCTCCTTGTATTTTCAAAGTTTCTAGACACTTAAAAGCTGCTTTAAATACTCAAAATTTCAAGATAATAATAATATAAGTAATTTAAAAGATCATCAAATAATAACTTATGCTATTCATCAAGTAGACATTCAAGTTGACATTGACATACAAACGACTTCTCCCTATAAGATACAAACTAAATAATGACGTGAAAGAACTCGTATATTATATTAGCTATCTATGACATATAATCTAATAAGTAGCAAATATAAATACAGGTAGAAAACACAGTTATGCGACTAGTATTGAAAACGCGTAAAACTAACGCAAAAACGAATGCGCACGTGGAAGCTCGAAGCTCCTAAGTTTAAAACTGATATGAGGAATTTTACGTATAACTAATATTAGGCCTAAAATAGGAATCTGTCGTCATAAAAGATAAATCAATCGAAAGTTCTATTATATAAATCCGCGCGCGCATACCCCGAATTAAATATATATTATATTTTATATTTATTATATATATATATATATATATATATATTCATATATCTGTATGTGTACATGTAGTCATTCTCTATATTTGATAGAATTTTAAATATGTGCGTCTACGCAACAAGTGGCTTTTGTCGTTTGTGTTGATTTTAAGTCTTCCTATCATTTAATGTTGATTAAGGAAGTTGTAAGAAGAGTCAGAAATGTGTTAAGATTTGCATAAAATTTAAAACATAAGCTCTTTTATAAATAATTCTTTTATAATAGAAATTATTTATAAAAGAGCTTATATGTTTTAAATTTTATGCAATTCTTAACATTTTCGAATCTCCTTAATGTCTTTGCTACACACGTATTAATAAAATAATTTTTCAAAATAGATTTCATACGTGTATCGATAGTCTCTTGAAATTTGCGTGCACGGCATATGAGCTACAAACGAAATAAACGATTTGCACTAACAAATAAAAACTCATAGAGAATAAAAGCAAAATAAATAAATATAAATATTTTTCTTATGTTCTATATAAGATAGCTAGAATTAATCGTATTTTTGTAGTTTTTATGTTACTCTTGAATTATGTTAAAATTTCAAGACCTCTTTCACCATTTACACATACATATGTTATATATGTATAGTAATATCTTTTTCTATTCTTTAGGTCCATATTTGAATTTGATATTTAGATATTATGTTTTTGTGCACTACCCTGTAAATGTAGAATCTCTTTATTATTGAAAGAATTGGTATACCAATGAAATTTTATCTAAGGGCACGGAAAATTTGTCTCGAAAATTTCTTGCGAGAATAGTATCCAGATTTTAAAAGGGCAGTGAATTGAACAATATGAACACGTTGGCACATTGTAATAGAAATCTTTGTTGCGTATCTCGCATGTAATCTAGAACTTGAGAAAAATGCATTTTGATCCTCATAGATGTATACCGTGTGAATATAGAATGCATATATATTTGTTGAAAACGTCAATATATACTCTGGTAAACATTTAATAATTACTCCAGCAATATACTGTAACGACACGTTCATTTCGATTTGGTAAATACTGTTAAGTGTACTTTCAGTTCCACAGTTACGTCTGTCATATACCTACCACTAGAACAGTTTATAATTTGCCTAACTGGTATCTCGTTTTGACTTGGTGCAACGTCTACGCATCCTAATCATAGCAAGTACGAATGCAACAGTAGCGCTATTAGATTAAGTTAGAGACAAAGTCACTATTAAATTCATTACCTATCTAGAGAATGATCTTTTAAAGCGTCATTAGTCTTTGTTGCCTCTGATTGTTTGGTGTTCAAAGTCGAACATATACGCGCCCGCCGCGCGTATTCGTAACACATACCCTACTTATCATACGTCTAACACAAATGTAAATTTATTTTCGCAAAGAAAAAATTGTCTGCAAAAATTGCAATGTATTATGCGACACGTATAGGAAATAATGATGGCACTATTTTCTTTTCGAGTTTTGACGTATAAAAAATTCAAGTAGAATTCAAATAGGAGATGACCAATAACAGTCAAATATTTGTTTTCAATATTCTCGAAAATACTTGACTGTCTTGATTTCGACGTTAATATTGAATAAAAACATTTTTTCAAAAAAATATTGTTAAGCGCGTGTAAAAATGGCACTAAAAAAGTTGTCAAAAATTTGAGCGCGGCGCGTTGATTATTCCATAAGATAAATTATTGTGCAACCTTCTATTTAACTTTAAGTATTAATTAAGGAACCTAACCAAAATTAGCCAGTTACTTAATTATTTCTGTGCACTTTGTGCAATATACGCTTATCCACTGTTTTGATTTTAGACCTCATCCTTTGTTCTACAAAAAATTAGATCAGTAGCGATATTAGTCATTAGTCGGCGGATCCATAGCACATATTATAGTTTTCATTACGCTGGCTGCCGCCAGCGCCGCATAAGGCTGCCATTCTTTGATACGGGTACCGTCTTTGTAATCGGCAATTCCGCGAATTACAACGAAATTCTCACGGCAATTGCCCAAGATACTCTCTACGACAGCATCCATTTCCGCGTCGAATGCGAGCGCGCCGAATCGGGTCGCAAACTTTTGTCTAAGTTGATCGTCTCGTGCGACTTGTCGGCCGGATGCTACTGGCGCCAGATGAATTCGGGAGCATCCATCAGTTCTGCAATAATAAAATATTAATGTATATTTATACATCAAAACGCACACGCGGAAATGTTGAAATGTTGAATTAATTTTCACCCATTACCTCTTATTTATGGAGTCTTGAGGAGCGATTGGATGAGATACCTCGATGACATCCCTCTCTCCAATAGCCATGTACAGTTTATCAGATTCTGGTGGTGGAGCATTAAAATCATGTTCCGATTGATTGACCAGATTCTGCAGACCTTCTTTCATGTACGTCTGCCACGGCGGAAACGCTTCGTTTTCAGCCTACAAAAGATAAACATTTTAGACGAGCACATAACACGGTTCATGTAAATGTCGATCGACGTACCTGTTTCTTGAGAGTCGCTGCAATTTCTTGAAGACCGAGATTTGGCGGGCAATACTCCTTGGTCTCAAAATGATAGTTCCCACTTTCGTTCATCTTGGCACTTTCGCAATAAACGTACGTATATTGCTTATTGAGCGGCGTCGGATGCGATATCACAACATCGCCCAATCGCACGTGTTTATTGTAATCTGTATAATGAGGGACACCACCACCAACTCCAACGAGAAAGACGAAATCCACCTTTTGGAATGTACCTTCAAATACAAGCAAAGACAAAAAAATTGTAGCAATGTGTATATAATGAAAATAAAGAGAAATATATACATCATATAATATAAAATAAAGTTGTAAAGTTTCAAAGAAGATAAAAATGCATACCTAACAATCTAGTAGTGGTATTGCCAGCTGCGGTCATTGCTTCCCTGGTGTGTCCCACAGTTGGCAATTTAGTGCACACAATCCGATGCGTACCGATATTGCCCAAAGTATATACATTTGATTCGCCTATAACAAACGGTATCTATTCGTTATCCGTGTCTTTATGTATTTTTAAGTTTACATCTCCTTTTCTTGTTCTTGATTTGCGTATGATACATGTGCATTGTGCGGCTATCAACAAAGTAGGACGGAACCTGTGTTATATGTGACGATAAAATAGATAACAATCCATTCCGCGTAGATGCAATGCATCTCTCAAATCTAGTAATAACACTAGACATAATAGAGAGAAGCAAGTTGTATCAAAAATTTATTTAAAAATGTGTATCTAGTGTCGTCGATAACGTACAAATAAAATACATTTGAATAAATGCCATTATTAAAAGTTGGATTATTTTAAAAACATTTTCAAAGACAGAATGAGCTTTGATAAGGAAAAAGAAATAAAATCTTCTCTGTCGCGCGGGAATAAATATTAAAACAATTAAAATTATTATGATATTACTCGTAGATAAAAATGATAAAATAATAACATAATAAAAATGATTAACTTAAAATAATGTGATGTATAAAAACCAGATAAAATAAATGTAACACAAAATATGAATAAGCCTAACAAAAACATTACACATAACAAAAAACAAAGCTATAATACAAAACGTTCGCACGGCGAAACAAAAACTATTATATATACACATTATAATAATTTTACTAACATATATTGTGTAATACACAAAATCATTTAAAACATAAACGAAACAATATGTTTCAAAATTGTAGCACCATTTTGCCCCGCATTGTTCTTCGGTTACAAGCACGTGGCAAGCTATGAAATGACATTAAAATGATAGAGTTATGTTACAAACTACTTTACCAAAACGGCATATCACTCGCGGAATCCCGTCTGTCGTGTCTGTCGGTGTACTTGCGGTACCTAAAGTTTCATGCATGGTGAAATCCCCATTATCGTTTGAACATTTGCCGCTGAGTAGCGGGGCAATATAAATCAACAGTTATATTTACATAACCAAAAATGGTTACATAACCAGTCGGAAACCGATAACGTTAGCGAAAATTTATTGGGTATTTGATTAAAATGTTTTAAAAATTTAGTAACTCGTTCAAAAAAAATTATAGCTAGGAAAAAAAAGCAAAGGAGTCAATAGAACTATTCTTCTAATATTCCAAAAATATTCAGTCACCATTATTTATATAATGAAAAAATTAAATAGAGAGAACGTAGTTTACTTTTCATAGCCGTACTTCAAAATGTATCTTAATACCGCAAAATGTATCTTAAACAGTAGTAAATAAGAAAAGATCTTACCAACAGTGGTGTAGCGAACGAAGGTTTCCTTGTTCTCGATCAACGAATCCACAGCAAGTTTTTCACAATATTGAGCTGTAATGATAGCTATGGTAGGTTGTTTCGCACTTGCCATCGTTGGCATCTGCTTCACCACCTAAGAATACATTTTGTAGCATTACGACATTTACCACAAGTTGTTAAAAATAAACTGAAAAATTATAATCAAGTAATAACGTACTTGGACTTGAGTATCTTCATGGACAACACGTGTGAAAGCCCCATGATCCATTGATTTAACAAGCCCTTTCTCTTGAAGTTCTTTTAATTTAGACTCCACAGCTGATGGTTCCCATCCATGTTCCCTAAAAGCAAAATAAAATTGAAATATAATTTATTTCAAATATTTTCTTCATCTAAATTCCATTTAATACAACTACTTACTTCGCGATGTCAACCACGGTGACTGGATTCGGATAGGCAGATTCAATAAGTTCCAGAACTTTTTCTACTGTTAGCTCACGCACTTGACCCATAACGGTTTCGTCTGTAGATACTTCCAATAAAAAAAAAAAAAAAAGGAACACTTGATTAATCGTGCAATCAAGTAGCGGGCATTGTAAATTTGTCAGACTTTTAAGCCGTACATATGTCTATTGTAATTTAAAAATGACAGTTAATAGCATCGAAACAAGAATACAGCACTCCATAACAGATGCAAGTTAAATTTTCTGCCGTGTAGATGAGTATAGATAAGTCTAAATTTGTGTATTAGGTAGCTTTAATCTGTCCAAGATAGAAACGTGTGAAGTTTTGGAAATAGTATAGCTGTAATAAGTGCACAGTTTAACTAGTCTTTGTTTCTATAGCTAGAGTCGAGCTAGAACCGTTAAGTGGAGAATACAGCTAAACAGCTAATGTATATGTGGGAGTAAAACTTGAACACATATACGTATATGGGAGTGACCATGAGTGAAGGTTCGTGCTCTACATGGATGCATTTCCTTACAGAACGAAGACTAAAGTAGCAATGTCATCGTACTATGTAGTATGGCTAAGTATGGTAACGAATAACCACGTGGGAAGGTAGAATTTAGGACAGATAAATAAGTGTGATTTTTATGTATATGTATATGATATAATATGTAACTAACATGTGCATGTGGTTCTGATGCTATAAATTTCCATATTTAAAATTAATGCAGACAAAACAGCATTGTCGAAATTAAATTTTAATTAAATAAATCCATATCCCAAATAATTGATGTTTATTGTAATTTAAAATCTTATGTCGAATAGTTTATGTATGTTGTATGGACTGTAAAATATTTTATGTGTTGTGTAATAGTTTTATCTATAATCATGCTGTGAAGGTAGATATGTATATATTGTACACCATGTATAGGGAATACGATATCCAGGTCAAGTCAAGTGGTTAAACGGGCGATTTTTCACACTCTAATTAATGTATTATCTAATACGTGATCGTTCGGTTAAACAGATTGGAAAATCCTCTTTTACATAATCAAAGTGCATAATACGTTTTATAAACCCATAACAATCTCAACTTTAATAAAGAGAATAGAAATACATCTTCTTTTGTTTTCTTTTTTGCTGAACGGAACAACGTTAATATGAATCAATGCACGGCAGATCTGCAGATCTAATACTAGCCAAACTATGTTAAGTCAATGTTGTTATGGTTACCAGATTATTGTGCCAAGCGATAGAATGTACATATATATATATATATATATATACATATATAGTATATACTAGCTAAGTAAGAGAAACTCCTTTTCTTTTAATCTAGAATTATAAATTATACACAAAAGATTTAAACATCTTGTCCAGTACGTATTGTTATAAGAAGATATATTATGTGTGTTTTATTTGGATTATTAGCCTGTGTATGAGAAAAGAAAGAGAATAAACATCAATGAAATGTGACAAAAATGCTGATTTTTTTATTCTCGAACCTGATCTCCACATAACTTTCTCAGAGGGAGGAAGTGTGAATAGTAAGTGACCAGTAGCTGTGAATAATAGAAATTAAGTATGAAATATAGATGTTGACGCTCAATACAATGTACGTGCGAGTATAGAATGTACATGGGAAAACTCTGATTTTAAACGTACATAATGGATATATGAGACACCGAGAGTTTTAGTCAAGTGTGCATTTCCCTTTGAGTTGAGCTACGACCGTGCACTTGAGACACGTCTAATCTCTTCCAATAAAGAACCATTAAGCCCAATCGACTTGTTCAAATAACCATTAACCCTCCTTCCCTACACTCTAATAGATTTTTTTTATTAAGCCAAAGTAGGTAGTATTTGAGAATGAGAATGCACGTAGGAAATATATAGACTAAATCTGCAATTTCTCTCAGATGCAAAAATCTCTGTAACACGTTGACAAGGAAAAAATGAAACAAACTACTTACATGGCCTGCTTGGAAGGGTGATCGGCTCTTCCACGTGCCTCAATTCCACTTCCAATTTTTTAATACTGGGATATTTATGTTGCATCAATTTCATTATCTTTTTAATAAATCCCACGTAATCTGCAGAGAATAACCGGCATTGTAATATTACACAGCAGAAAAAAATATCAATCGTAGAACTAGTTGTATGATCAATATCAATCTTTCAAAGATTGATCAGTATCAGTGATCTCGTAAATGGTCAAGTTTGCTATTTAAGCTTCTTTCTCAGATATATCATATAGAATTTCACTCTCTTACTGTCAACACGTTAAAATTAGATCTCGGCATGTTTATAAGAGAACAAAGAAACGTTTGCTTAGACCCTCTAGTTATATTAGATACATTTAATCTCGCGAATACAGTTTTCCAAGAAACGCCCCGCTCGGATCGTCGATGGCGTCACCTCTAGGAAACTCCTGCGGTGTAACAAGCTCTCTGAAAAATTCTTGCGCGACGCTCGGCTGTTCCACCTCGGCGAGGGTATCGACGAACCAGAATTGAAGAGTCCTCTGTTCCTGCGTGTGCTTCCCGGTTTGCGCACTCACCAGGAACACTCTGAATTGCAGGCACAGTTGGGCAGGATGCACCTCGCCATTTGTCACTACAAAAATTGAATATTAAACATGCGGTCCATCCCAGTTGGATTTAATTAAATACTAAATATGGGTATTGTGTGTGTGTGTGTGTGGAAATCACGTGGGAGGCAAGAATATTTCGTACCAGCTACAGCTTGCTTGTTGATGACAATCCCTTTGTGATCACCCCCAGCGACGTGGACGTTGTTCTCGTTCCCGTTCTCCGTCGGGGGCTCCAGTGCCTGTCTCTCAATTATCAGGGTCGTCGAGTTCGCCGTCTTGCACTTTGGCGTCATGACGATGTGCTCTGCCCCAGGAAAAGTACTTAAATGCGCGTCTACATCAACTTCTTTATCTTCGTCCTTATCGCGCGCGAGATAAAACCGCATTTCGTAATTTCACCAAATTCTTCTCTCGCACATTTTTGTTTTTTTTTTCTCTCTCAAAGCAACAATTCAATTTAAGACATTCGGACAGGACAAGTGAACAAAACGACAACTGTTCGCAAAAAAATACGCGTTGCGTGGATCGGTCTCGAAATGAGAATCTTTCCCCGCCCGAATTTCTCTCTCTCTCTCTCCCCCATGAATTTTTCTCGTTTTGTCGCTTACCAGTCTTCTCGCCCATGTCTGCGACGTTGTTCCGTTCCGTTTGTCTTGACACACTGCTGTTTCCTCACGAAAGTGACAGGAAGGTGCGCCGAACTAGAACGCAGATCGAGATACGACTCATACGACGATAACACTCGCGTCACGTCACCCGGTCGGATCGACGAGCGGCCGCTGACTGTCACCACTGGCCGGTGGCGTCACCGATCGGCGCTGGCGTTGGCCGCTGGCGCCTGTGACGTCAGCGGCCGATGCATCATCCCCTTTTAACCCCTTCCTCTCTCGTTCCATTAATGACCCCTGGGACCCAACCAACCCTGCAGGTCCGTTCACTCGAATTTTCATTCCGGGACGTCTGTAGGAGAAATTTACCGACTCGGAAAAAAACTGATCGGAAGAGACTTTAATCGATGATCAATGCGTAACACAAAAGTCGCCGTTCTAATTATTCATCGATGCGTCACTAATCGCAGGAATGGCGTCATCTTTATTTATATAACGACCTGCAAACGATAATATTCTTTGTACGAAGAAATGACGCAACAACGTGACGCGAATTAAATAGAAACGTACGCTTAAAAAGGTCCATTTGCAATATTTCGCAATAAATGACGTGTATTTGCAACAACATTTACGAGATGATACAAAAACGCCTAATAAATATACATTTCTAAAAATAGCGATGATTGTTACTTGAAAAAAATGAACGAATAAAACGACGTGCGTAAACAAATTATTTGACTGGGGAAATATATATAAATATATTACACAGCTTAATGAGTATGTGTGTTCCTTTCTCTTTACATAACAATTCAGAGAATATTTCATCTTTGAAGTTTCAATCAGTGGTTTTAATTTCCTAAATTTGACAACATGTAATATTATCTCAAGTGCTTGGCGATAAATACCGATAAATTGTCGTGCGAAACGTATTTGAGCTAAATCACAACAAATTATATAAAATAATCCTTCAAAATACGATTAAAGCATTATTTACAATTCTGATATATCATAGATTTACTCAACTAATACTTATAATTTTAGTTGAACATATATTTTTGTATTATAGAATAATTATTATTAATGCTTAACACGTTAATAATATGTATATTTTCCAAGGATGAAGAGTTGTTTCGATATAGTCATTGTTTCATTAACGAAGAAAAATGGAGAGAAAAATTGGCAACTAATCTTTCAATATTACATTCAGTAAAATCATTGTGGAAGCCAAACCTCTCCCTTGGGTTCTTATTTTTCAATATTTTATACACGTGCAAGTGTAATCAATTCCTGGAAAAAGTTACTATGGCAATTACATCGCTAGAGCAAATAAACGTATGGTTTTTATCTCAGAGGCACTGACGAAATGGATGTCATAGATGTTAACGAAGACGGCCCGGAACTAAGATTAAGTTTATCCAGTTCTTCATCCGCTTTATTGTTTTTCAGGTCCTGTTGCGTGTACAGGAACTTGTTCCATTCGTCAATCCTTGGATGAGCTAGATGCTATATTGAAAAAAAAAAAGAATCAAATATAGAGAATGTTTTTGCACAAGTTTCAGCACGCAACATTGCCTACGTTATCATATAAACAGCCGAGAAAATCTTCAAAGTGATCATCTTACGTACCTCGGCGACATCGTAGACCCATATTTTCCCAGTATCGTCACCGACAGTGACATGCAATCCACTTGGCGTCCACGATACCCTGTTCAGAGCAGGGCACCCATCAACGACGACGCTGGCGGTGGGTACCTCCGTATCCTGATTCAGATTCCACAAATCCAGCCTGCCGGAATCATCGACAGAGGCGAACAGCGCCGGGTGCGTCGGAGACCATGCGACGTCATAGACGTAGTCGCCATTGTGCTCGAAAGAGTAGAGCGGCTTATTCTCTTTTAGGCTCCAGAGTTTGATAGTCCAGTCTAGGGAAGATGTCAGGAATAGATGAGAGAAGTCTATTCCGCCCTGCACCGCGTGTGCGCTAACGCCAGTGACCGGCCCCTGATGACCCTCGTACGTTTCCGTCAACCCGGCGCGGCTACCGTGTCGGCAGGCTATTTGACAAAATTAAAATGTTGTTAATTCTTTTAGTTTACTCTTCATATATTCTCACGTTGGTATATGTGGACACGCATACATACCCGAGTAAACGGTCCCGTCCTCACTTCCCATGACGAAATTGTTAACGTCGCCATGCGGGAAGGCCAAGCACGTGGCGGCAATCGCTTTCGATTGCTTCGTGTGCAATTCTAATGCTTCTTGCGGTTGTGACAGCATGTCCAAACTCCACGAGCACAATTTGCCGTCTGTCGAAATGCTGATCAGATTGTGCGCGTTTTGCGTTCCAACGACGTTCAAGCAGTATACCGGGTGCTGCAGATCAAGTACGTACTTGTACGTTCTCGCACTCTAAGCTTAGAAGCCTAAAAAGCTCAACTAGCTACGTGATGTATCTTGATGGAAGGTGATATGTGATACTTACAGTGTGCGCAGTGGCTGACAAGGGAGTGCGTTGTATGGGAGTCCTCTTTTGCACTCGATTGTCCCAAAGCACAATTTGACCGGAGTAGGTGCCGCCCAGGATCAAGTTCGGGTGGAATCTGGCGAACGTGGTGGACATAACGGGCGATTGACAGTGAAAGATAAACTCTGGCGTGGTTTTCTTGAATTTCGTATTCCAGATTAGGCATACGCCGTCAGGATCGTTCGGAGTGTCATCGTTGTTATTGTACGAAGCCGCTAAAAGCTCGGGGAACTGCGGCGACCAGTCCATGGAGGTTACACAACGATTACGGGACCATCGCTCGCAAATGAACGAGCGATTCAACCACAACCGTTGATGACTCTTCTCGTCCCTGCAACACGTCACACGTCAGAACGGTCATTTACGTCGAGCAGAACGTCTATGACGTTTCAAACAGCTATACTGCCTTAGAAACAAAGAAAGATTGATTGAAAAAAACACACATTCCGTCTTCGCCGTCCATAGTGCCAGCATAATCGGTGTAGATATCGACCGATTCGCCCAGTGCTCTCTCCACGATTCTGCTGGTACGATCGAGGAATCGTTGGAAGTCTTCCGACAGGATAATCATTTGCTTCTCTTCTTCGCTAAGCTCCCGTACTGCGGGATTAATCAAAAGTATCAAGATTTTTGGCCAGTGAACAGAACCAAGGAGATTGATGGTCCACGCACCTTCTTTCTTGGGCTTCTCTTTCTGCTTCTCTTGCTCTACCTGTGTAACGGCAGGCTGGACTTCCTTAACTTGCGGTAATCCGTGAGGAAGGATTCCCGGTGGGAGCTTACTCTGGAAACCGTCCATGTGCGGCAAGCTATTTTCTTCGTCTTCGGCTTGGCCATCATCAAATGTCAAAACTGTGGTGAATAAGCTGGTTCCGCCACAAGTACCCTAACTTGGATGTAACTACCTAGCTACTGATCTATACCTATTTATTTAGACGTCGACTAATGATCTAATTTACAAAAGTATCGCTTTTATATTAAATAAAAGAGAAGAGCTAGTTTCTTTTTTGCAACAAATATTGAAATGCTTTGAAGAATATCTATAGCGCAGTAATCTAACATCTTGAATTCACATCTAAGAGAAAAACAACACTGTGCATTCTGTTAAAATCCCAACATTCGTTTCTGCAACATTTTGCATTTGTCTTTACACCTCAAGTGCCGAAAAAACGTTACATGCCAGCGTGTTATTTAGAAAAAAAGAAAAAAAAACAAATTACGATTGTTTTCTTCACACGTTCTTTAATATGAATTGCACAGGTAGCTGCCAACTTGCAAATGTTTAACGAAATCTCATTTCGAAGGAGCAACATCTAAAAGCATTGATAAATGCCATATCGAATAATTTACCATGCTGGAAATTTACCATTGCTAAGGTTTCATATATAGAGGAAAAAAAATTTATGAGTGTGAGCCTAGATGACATGCAAAATTAACCACATGTACGAAAGGTGGACTGCTTGTTGGTGGACTGTCGTAAATAGCATTGATTTTACATTTTTCCATCGTATCTTTTTTTCACGTGTGTCTCTCCACCCTTTGTTGGCATGCAGCACCTCGATGAGGTGGAATGATGCGTGAGAAATGAGAAGAAAAATGAACGTGGACGTTACAAGTAACAAGAGATTACTACGTTTCCCTTTACCAGTGTACGTACTATTATATTACTGATTATGTAATCATCAACGGGAAATTATCATGTAGAATGTGACACGTGCGTGAGGTTTCACCATCTCTCTCTCTCTCTCTCTCTCTCTCTCTCTCTCTCTCTCTCTCTCTCTCCCCCCTATGACACTATTATCGTATAATGATCAATGATGAACAAATTTATAAATTAATAAATAAAAATCAATGGTCCGATGAAGACGGAAAAGAAGTGGGTTTACAGCCGTGCGATCGTGTAAATTAAATCTTCTTGAAATAATAAAAACAATAAATGAATGCACCGGCGAGTGGAGACGATTTAACGCAACTTTCCAGGTCTCATGCAGTACCGATTAAAATTACAACATCTACAACTGCGACAAATAAAATAAATTAGCATTTAAGATTCTCTCTGTCGCTTTACTTTTTAAAAAATAATAAATCTTAATTAAAAGTGCTAAATCTTTAAATCTTCAATCATTAGACAACTCACAGTATACAGTATCCCGCCTCAAAAAATAACAAAGCTCAATATATCTGCATGCGCAATACGGAGACGGATAAAAGCGGATTTATCTTAGATTATGTAAAGAGAAATTTAAAAAAAAATTTATATATTTTATAAAATAAAGCAAATCATCAAGCAAGTTGTAAACGCTAGCGACAATTCCCTTCGTTCAGTGCATATATAAGACAGAGACGACAAATTGCAAAGAAAGTTACGTAAAGATATTACTTTTAAGCGCAACTTTGTGAGGGTGTGAGGTTTATGGACATGTCTGTGAGATAATTAAACAAAATCGTCTCTAGAGAGGAATTACCTACCTGTAAATTCGTCCTCCCATTCTAAACCAGGATTTAGATTGTACTCGTCTTGAAGGAGGGAAAAGAAAATGTCAATCAATTTGATATCCTATTTGCCGGACGTGTTTGTAGCGCTTTTGAAATATATATTTCTTTAAATAGACATTATTGATGCATAATAATACATGTACAAAAGCTAAAAGTTACTTGAGTCTTTCACTTCGCTTTATCTCACGTCTCTAATGTGAAATATTTCGCCGGGATTTTTACCGTTACATCATTCTCGCGATAACGTATTATGCAATATAAGATTCAACTAACTTTTCTTATTTTGTCATGCAAAATACATCAACACGCGCTCGAGAAACTTGAAAGTAGCACGTGAATTTGATAAATCATAATAGTCGACATATCTATTTACATGCGTACAATATTCCCATTAGCAACGGCTGTGTATATTTCGGAGTATATTTCAATATACTACGTTAAACTCACTAAAGCGTTTAATAAGAGAAGTCTCTTACTTCTTAAAATATGTAAAAGTTTTTTAATCTCTTCGCTTAAATATTGAATAAAAAAAATTCATAGGAATCTCTTCTCATCTGACGAGGTAGGATATTTCTCGGAAAATAAATCTGGCACAAGAACTCATTGTTTCGGAAAAATTTCAAAAGTTTTTATAGCAAATTAAAATGAAGACAAATAAGGGATCATGAACGTGAAATAACGATTTAATACAACATACTGACATCTCCGACTATTGAAATAAAAACTGCATGTTCTTTTTTCCACGTCTTTCGATTAATGAGACTCGACATATTTATAACACGTACTTTCCGACTGGCAGTGAAAATAAACCTGTCAATATTCATAAGATAGAAAAACAAGTGCGCGATGTACATATTTTGAGAATGCTGTATAGCTATGCTGCGATATATTCGTATGGACACGTACATGTGTCTGTCGTTTTAACTCTGTTAGGTCTATTAACTTTATTGCTACGCCACCCACGTGCTGTTAAGAAGCAATATTCTGCGACCGAAGAACATTTTATTAAAAAAAAAAAAAATGTTCCTGCGCCACTAAAAGCTCAAGCGACATATCTTTATATAAGGTATTGTATTAAAATGTTATATATATATATATATATATATATTATATCAGTGGTAAGTAATTTACTAAAAACAGAGTCAGAGTGTACCGAAAATAACGTGTGTAATATGTCATCTTCAACTTGAATTCAGTTAATATCCCACAACACCTTAGCTCTAGAAAAATTGTTTTCATGTTAGTAAGCATTAATGATGCGTTAGCATTCCCAAAGAGATTTCAGATAATGAACATCGCGCCGAGAACTCTGGAAGGTGCGTTAAGTTGTGACAAGATTTGCCAATGGATATATCTCTCTCTCTCTCAAAAGATTCTGATATCCTTGATGTGCCATGACGAGATGGCATCAAGAATACCATTAGTAGTTGTCAGAGCTTTATAACCGTTTTCATTAAACATTGCAATTCACCTTGTTTCTCTTTTTTACACTCACACATTCGTTTTATAATATTAATAAAGAAAACATATTCTTTTGGTAGCATGCCTACTATGTGAAATTAGTGATACATATCGTAAGAGACAGCTTGAAAGTATTGCAAAAATCGTGTTTGAAGAACACCAGGGAACGTCGAAACAACCATCTTCGAAATTTCTGCATGCTTTCCGAGAATCAGATATATGCAGACAGATTTGTGTAGTGTGCCTAATAGCAGATTTTTCTTTGATGTATAGAGTCGGGATGTCAGATAAATATTTGGAAAATAATAGATACCGTAAATAAAGAATAAATGCACCCAAAAATAGGCAAACTTAACGAAGAAGAGAGTCGGAAGAGGTATAAAAGCATATCCATAAGATAGTAAAGACCGATCAGGCTCCGGGTGGAGAGTTGTTTTGCATTCCTTGCTGACATTTCCTATTATGGAAAACGCTAAATTCTGGAGACGATATTCTTCATCCGTTTTCTAGTCTCGGCCGTATCTATTCCGAATAAAGGCAAGTAAAAGCACTATCTAGTATGTTGCAAATGTCATTAATTTAAAATGTATTGATGGGCTACGAATAATATACGCTATATTTTTGGCGAACAAATAGTAAATTTGGTAGTACGTTAATTTCTCTTATCTCTTAACACGTTCGTTTGGCGTAAATACGTTGGAATAGTATGTGAAATTTAATCCGAATAACGCGACGTACTCTTTGCCAGGAATCGCAGTTCTCAGAATAATCGTTGCCTCAAGTAATACAAACTGAATACAAGCTAAACCTAACTCTGAATCTAAAAATCGTTTTCAGAACCAAGAGAAATCATAACTTACCGTAATAGTCGAATGCATGAGCTGAGAAGGGAGGGAAAAAATTGTACTTAGTTACGATATCATAAGAATGCATTACGCTAATAACACCTCTCTACACTCAGACTCGTTAGTTCAGAATAAAAAAAAAGTCGAGTTTAAGCAAAATTCAAAACTGTACAAAAGGGTGATAAATAATTTTGTCACTGTAATGTCCGACGGTTTTAAAATTCGACTGTACATCCTATAGGGACAACGGCAAATAAATTTTTTAATGCTGCGTAAATTGTTTGCGAAAATTTCCAAAAAAGTAGATAACGATAAATAAAGTCGTAGCGTGTCATAGACATACGTTTCGATCAAGTTGTATCTTAAATAAAAAATTATGCTGAATGTAGTTAGGTGCATATATAATTTTGTAAATTCTTATATTGTGCGGTGCTTCGATTCCTATGCATGAGAGGAAACGTACATATTCAAAATGTTTATCGTTAGGGTAATTAATGTTTATCTTTCATGTTCAACACTTTCGTTTACTAGCGACGGTATAGAATGTTCATTAGTTTATTGATCCAATATTGTGGCGAAAACCTTAATTTTTTTTTTAGTTATCCCCAACAATAGATGCTCTTTAACGAATAAGCTGCAATATCTCACTTACATCCCTTGTCACACTTATGCCCACCCCCAAAGTTTCTCTGAAAAATCGATATTGATATCATTGTTCTTGTTAATATATAATAGAAACAATAAAGCAAATAATTTTTTAAGCGACGTGGACAATTATCTCAATGTTAGAGTATATACATATATCTTTGCACGTAATATTTTATCAAGAACATTAAAAAGAAGCTATTCACAAAGAAGCTATTTTTATATCTTATATATATATGCTTATACATATATATAATATATATACCTACGTCATTAGAGGTCATTATTTTTATATCTAAAAATATATTTGAAGAAATATTCTACATGTGAGCACAAATACCACGTCTCTACCAGCACGCATGAGTCATGGCATAACAATCTTGTAAGAATTTCAGTTTGTAATCGTACGTCGTATGTTTTCCCAACAAACAGGACGCCTAGAGTTAATGTGCTGTGTAATCTTAACTTTCTGTCAATCTGTCAATTATTTCATTAAACTATTGAAGCGTGAATAAGCTTTTTTATCATATGCAAGCAAACGGTTATCTGTGTGTATGTGGAAGTAAAACTATAATATATAAAAATCTAGAAGGAGATGGCAACAGTGAATACACTTGTAATATAAAAATCTCTTCATTCTCAATACAGTATAATTAATATATATATATATATATATATATATATATATATATATATATATATAGTAAATAAAAATTTCCACATACAAAACTCTTGCAGCACAATTCAAATGTAAAATCGGTTATTATAGCAACTTGTGTGTAATCTTCACGACTCCTCGTTGCCTTCACATAACTTGATATATATGAAGAAGAACGAAAAATCAAAGATTTTGCGGAGCAATGTTTAAAAAGCGCAAAGCACCCCAAAGATTAGATTCTACATCCCTTCATTTGGAACGCGCGACATATCTCTACCTTCCGATGTGTATCTCTACCTCTATAATGTAACGTCGTACGACAATTATGGAAGGGTAGTAAAAAAGTAGACAGAACATACATAGGTAGTTTGGTGCAGACCCACCTTTCCTGGGACGCCACCAGTCAGTCTCAAAGTAGCCTGCGGAGCAAGAGTGAGTTGGTGTTGTTGTTGAACAGGAGGAGTAGATGGTGTATGCAGAGGACGATGTGGACAGTCCTTGTGTCCAACACCGGATGAATCGATCAGATTGTATCGCAAGACAAGGGAACACGCGTATGTTTAATTAACACCGCAAGATCAGTTAGGTAACAAATACATATTTAAAAAATCTATCATGTATATATATATATATATATATATATATATATATATATATATATGCGTATATATTTATAAGTATAATATTCCTCTGTGTCAATCAAATGTATAATTATAAGAGGAAACATTTTTTTCCACCAAAATTCAGATTTTGTTATAATTAACGTTGCGCTATCTTTCATCACAGTAAAGTAGGTGGTATCGGAATAAAATATATAAAAATTTGTTAATCACTAACATAAATTGTTTGTGATCAGCTTTGTATTGTTAGCAAAATCCAAGACTGCGTGTGAGAGTAATCGTCAGCAAAACATATAATGTAGGTATTTAAGAACATCAAGGACTAACTGAATTTGCGGTTGTGTTCATGGAAATGAAAACGTTGCATAGGAAAAAGTTGCCACCACCAAAAAAACTTGTACCAAACCCAGATTGATTGTTAGATGCTTACTACTCGTTATATAATGACTAATATATGTTTGTTATACACATAATCTAAGGCTCACAATAAAAACTGTTATTCATTTTCAAATATAATAATACGTATAATAATATATTATTCATTTTTCTTATATATTATATATAAATGTTATTAGTACATATTGTATATTAAATATGTGCTGATTAATAATATTTGTGTCACTACATAAACACAATATGTTATTCTTTTAATGCCGAGTATTGTTTAAGTAATAAGATATTAAAAAATCATGTAAGTGTTGAAAACTATTAATCCTTCACAAATAATATGAAGGAAAAGTGCAAAATGATAATTGCGATGTAATGAATCATTAAATTCATGTTTTAGGAATATGTAAGTTTCCTCGCCGCTTTAAAATTAATTATAAGAAACAATTTAGAAGGTTAACTCAATCTTAATGTTATTCGTCATTCCAAAACAAAAAATTAAAAAAAATTGCACTTTTGTGTGATTAACATCATAATTTACCTCATTCGTAGTTAATACACGAAATAATTCACAATAATGCACAAAAATATTGTTAAGACTATCCATGTGGTTACAGACAGATTGTAACACAGTGTTGTAATAAAAAAAATATATATAGATATATAGAAGACTATCTTTTTTTATAGACCACCCACTTTACCATAATCAATTGTAAAAATTTTGTTGATGCGAGAACAATGGAATATGTGTACGTTGATATTTCAGTGATTTTAAAACACGCACTGTGTGTGAACGCGCTATAAACTTGTAAACTTACGTTGGCAATCGAGTATTAATAATTAATGGAATTATTTATAGTATAAAAAAATAGCCGAAAATATATAGTTAACAGATTAGATTCATATAAAATATAACAATATAAAACAACCATCTTGTAACCAATCGATCAGATTTAAGGACGTCTCAAAAATTAATTATATTTTAATTCCATCAATATTTATGTCTATCTAAAAACGTTTCTTTGCGAACGCACGAGTGAGATATAACACATATGTGCAATATAAATAAATCGATAAATATATAAGAGAAATATTGACTCACCGTCGTGGGATGTATGCGTGGTCTGAATGGTTTGCGTTTGCTTGCTGTAAACGACCGGTTCTTTTGGTGGAATGTTTGTGTGCGCCACGGAGACGATTGTGAGCTCCCGCGTCTTCCTTCGTCCCGCACTGCTTCGTATCACGATGCCAAGTTATAAATCGGTCTTGAAAAAATGCAAGAAAGATGCAAATAAATACCTTTGAGCAGACGTTATACTGGATGGCTGCAAGCTGGCGTCCGGTGTGGCCGTAGCACTTTGTTCAGGCGTCAGCGAGCTCATACTCGACAAACTAGAGAGCACGTCTGCAAACAGACAGAAACAGTTAGAGCGTTGCATAGGAAAAGATAGAGTTTATAATCAAACACCTGTAACGTGTATATGTGTACCTGACACTGGCGCTACGCCCAAAGAAGACAACATTGCATCTATCTCCTTGCGCTGATCCTTGTCCGTGCCAGCGGCACGAACGGTAGCTTCTTCTACCTATAATCCCAAGTGACGTGTTTATACGTGTCACAAGTCATCTTTACATTTTTACGTATGTACAAACTGAACACTGATCATTTTTCATTTATAAATCTCTCTTGTCCCTTACATCTTTCTGTTCTTTCTCCCTCCTGCGCCTCTCCTTCTCCTCCCTAATAGCTTGCAGCTTCGCCTTCTTCCTTTCTAGCTCGGCTTTACGATCGGACATCATCTTGTCGTCTAGCAATAGATTACTGAAAAATGATATCATAAACTCTAGAATGATAAGCACGTCAGACGTACAATGTGTCTGCTCCGTAAACGTGGCCGAGGAAGCTACCTAGCTACCACGAATAAAAGCCCACGGCCCAATGCAGTTATTGATTTCTCAGCGATGACGTCAACTTGGAGCTAAAACGTTGGTAACGTTAACGTTACCGTTACCGTTCGATTACGTGCGAGCGCGAAACTAACGCGTCTTCTCGGCCTTCTCGCCGCTCTCGAGCGTGATCCACCCAGAAGGACGCGCCAGTTTAGGCGAAAATACTTGGCACTGAAACGCGGCAAGACTTTGAACGATGCACCGACTCCCCGCTCGATCGAATCTGGGCGATGTCGCGACGTAACGGTGCGATCGCGGATCGCGGATCAGCCGCGACGGAAATGACGAGGCCCTTACCTTCGTTAAGGGCACGCAGCGGAGCGAGCACAGCGGAGCGATCTGACGTCCCAGGCTTTACTCCATTTTACACATCAATATCATTTCGAGGACGTCAAGGAATGACATGTAACGCCACGATTCTCTTCACGAGAGCACCGAGCACCAAGGCACCAACTAGCGCACAGTGCACGATGAAACCGTACGACTAACGACACACGACACACGACAGTCACGACACCTATCGACCTACGAGCAGCCTACGAGACTGTACGAGACCGAGTACGACCTACGACCGCTAGTTGTCGCTAGCGTCACTTAAGACGCCATATTGCTTTACGTCACCCCTCTGACTCTCCACGTACGTGTTTATTATTATAATTTATTACAAGGGTTGGTGCTTTCGGGGAGAGTTGTACGTTGTACGTTGTTTTAAACAATGGCACATCTTCCTTCGGAGCTCATATCGCACCAGCAGAAGGTGTGCAGGCTGTACAAGCGCGCCGTGCGCTGCATGGAGGATTGGGTGCACGAGATACACGACCGCAGGTATGTATACATCACCCAAAGTGGATCCATCGACGTCCGATTACGTTAATCAACGGACAACGATTAATTCTGTACATACAACCGACGCCGACGGGATCGATTAAAGCAACATTTCCAACTAATTTATTCTTAATCTACTCTTTCTTTCCAATCATTGGATCAAATTAGAATCAACTGATGATTCCATCTGTCAGTGAGATACAAGTAACACACAAGGTGTTACTTAGTTACTTGATTAAAGTTAACCGATTAAATTAATTGGAGTTTGGTTAAAATCACCACGCCGCCTGGCAGGCGGTGATCAATGCATTGATTCAAACGAAATGTTTCTTCGGAACACAAGAGACCGAGACAGTGCAAAGTACTGTCATTACGTGTGATGATTGTGATTAATGGGATGAAAGGACTCGATTAGCAAAGGATACGTGGAGTTTGTGGAAAACAATTCTATAGTTCAAATCCGCCCATTTAGTCCAGGGAATACGATGAATGACAATTACCGTAATACATTTCAATTATAATTCCTTTACAGATACCAGGCTGCGTTATTGAGAGAGCGCTTTGACAAGAATAAAAATATTAAGGATTTGAGTTATGCAAAGCATCTGCTACAGGAAGGAGAGAAAGAGCTCTTCTCAAAGATACATTATCAACCGATAACCTTTGCCAATTCAGCTACAGGAGGGGCATATGGCCGAAATGCTGACATCCCAGACTGGGTCTTGGATTACTGGCACCCTCTCGAGAAGGCTATGTACCCCAAGTATTTTGCGCGTCGTGAACAAATGAAGGACGAGTATGAGAAGTGGTATTTCGAAACCTATCCAGAGGAAAAGAAGAAGCTCGACAGTCATTAGAGGCGCCTGTAAAATATAAAATATTTGTGTTGTATCGACGCGACATTACTTGTAGATAATATTGTAATATAATGTGTATTGTTACATGAAAGTTTTCATTGCATAGACGTAGTATCCCCATCAGCCAACACCCCCTGTACGAAAATCGCTGTTTCGAAATCTGCGCATATACGAACAAGCGTACTCCGTTTTATACGTGTTTATTATATACGTAGAATACATAGCAAGCAACTTAGCATATCTCTATCCATAATTTAATTCATTATACATTCAACATATGTAATACTAACGTAGCACAAAGTAACATACGTAGCTTGAAGCTTTCGCGAACTTGCCTAAATCTCCTGTAACGTATACGGATAACACATAGTAAGAAATTATTGCGCTTGGACGTTTGTAATTTCGAATATTATCTCCGTCGTGACAATAACGGGCGAAATGTATATGATTTGTCTTATTTGCAAATAAATGAAATACCACTTGCGAACGTAAAGATCCGCGATATTTCACTTGCTAAATTGAATACTTTAGCAGCAAAGTTCTTTTCGTTGCTAAAGTACACGACGTCACTCATAATGTACGTACGACTGTCTTAAACATATACGTATAATCCGGATATTTATGATCGAAGATTACATATACGTTGCTACAGAAGTGACGATTCTATGAATTAAGTCTAAAGTCGCCAATAGATTTGTATTGTCCTGCAGTGCCCATGGACACTATTTTAGTGCACGATTCAACGTTCCTGCGTGATATGAAATTGTTTTTACTAACTTTAAAATATCAAAATCTTTCAGTGTTCGAAAGATTCAAAATGTAAGAAGTTTTTATGTCTAATTTGCAAATAAGTTGGCATACTTTGTAAAATACTACATGAATTTCGCAGAAATTATTATCACTTCTGCAATTTCATCTTCATCGAAAACAATATTACCGATTACTTACGCTATATAATATATGAACAAATATTTTTACCTATGTTACAAATCTTTCAACATTGATAGGTTCGATTTCGGAAGCGACGTTCGGAAATGGAATAAAGTGGAAAAAAATTGTCAACGTGCTATACTTGTGCTCAAGAAGAGGATTCGTGATAGATAAGTCATTTACGATGTAATGTCATTCACATGATATTTTGTACGAAATTACAGAGTTTATTACGTGCGGTAAATTAAAATCGGTAACTAGGTAAAACTACACGTTCCATTAATAAATACGATTTTTGAGTTTCTCAGCATATATCTTCCACATAGAATTCTCGCAGAATTCTGTTAATCATCAC